CAATCCAACTCCATCACAGGATTTTTTGTGAAGTTAAATGATAATTACAATAGCCATGTTTCTATTTAGGGCTTTTCCAGCTGTCAGAGAGCTGTCACACTTTTATACACTGAAAAGTAGCATATGAGCAGAATCTACAGTTAGGTTTTGTTTTTTGTTTTTTAAAAAGGCTTCCCTGTTTGATAAAACATTTTGCCCTTTAGCATGTATGAGTTTCAGGACAAAATCTCACCTTCCAAAAATTCAGTTCCGTGCCAATATATTTCAAATCTCTCATTCATTTAGGACGTTGGGGCTGTGATCCTTAACACAAGTATCTGGGAGTAGGGTTGGGGGAGAAAGCTGATTCAGTTTTCATTTAAAGGAAAACCTAACTGATTCACACATACTGAAACAATCTGTGTAGGATTGCAATGCATGCTGGGGGTATTGCTTTCTAGATCATTGAGCTGTACAGTGGCACCTCAGTTTACGAACTTAATTCGTTCCAGAAGTCTGTTCTTAAACCAAAGCATTCTTAAACTGAGGCACGCTTTCCCAACTGAGGCCTCCCACCACTGGTGCCCTTCCACTGTTCGGCTTCTGTTCATCTTCCAATGCAAAGTTCGCTAACCGGAACACCTACTTCCAGTTTTGCGGAGTTCGTTGCCCGAATAGTTTGTTAACAGGACTGTTTGTAGACCGAGGTACCACTGTATAGAATCTAGTAATAATCATTCCTATCCATCCAGGATGTGTTGGCTTTTTTTTTTTCTGAGGGGGGCTTTTTTTGTTTTTAAAATGCTTTTCTTTGTTTTTAATTTGCTTGCTAATATGAGTTACCCAAAAGCTGAGCTGCAGTACTAATTGCAAGTTTCTGAAATGAGTCCTTGGAGACTACTGCAATCTCTGTCTCTCAGGCCCCCTGTCAAATCAATAGTTTACAGAGTGCAGCAAACAGAATATTTTGCAAGGTTGAAGAATGTCACTCCACATTTCAAGGTCTTTCGGAAAAAGAAATGAAGTAGGATGACAGGTCCTGACACTTCACTCCTACTCACTTATTAGGGTAGCCTTTTACCAAGACTGGAGCCTAGTGGAGAATATTAAGTGCATCTTCCTAATCTGCATAATCAGCTGTCATAGTCTTATTGTCACAAGATATGGGATGGGTGGGTGTTGCCTACTTGGAGGGGAAGCAAATCTAGGCCAAATGCGAGGAGCGTTTTCTTAGCCCTTGGAGACTTCTATTACAATATTCTTGGGGACTTCTATTACTGAAAGTCCAGCGTCCAGTCCAAATATTTATTTTTTTATTACATTAATATCATCCAAGTTTGTTTTAAAGTCCTCCAAGGAGCTCAAGGTGGTATAGACATGGGTTCTCCTCTCACACACATTTTTATCTTCGCAGCAATGCAGGCAAATCACTGCTTGCTTGAATAGTGTCGAACAGCAACACTTTTCTCTCTTTGGAGCAACCTAACCTCTTCCAGTGTTGCCTCTCTGATATGCTAACTTCTGGGCATCAAGTTTACATGTTGTATGAAGGGGATCAGAGTCACTTCCAGATTTTGGAGTGTCTTTGGGCAAAACATCTTCTATGGATCCTCTCCCTCCACAGAGATGAGCTCCTCACAGTCATGGTCTTTCTCTTCTGCTGTTGCTCCCCCCTCCTCTTCCTCACAATTGCTACCACTTTTTCATTTATCGGGCAGAAAGCCGGTGAACAAGCAACCAGTGGCATCTACCGTTGGCGGCCATTTTGCATGCATCCGATTGACACAAAGCTGCCAATGTGTGGGCCCTTTTGGACCTTGAAGAAGGCAGAATGGGGCAGAATGGATTAGGGCAGGCCAGGAACTGAACCCCCAAACAAAATGATCACTGCTGGTACCACTTCCCACTGCTTTCTGCACTTTTTTGAGGGGCAGATGAACAAGCAGTTAGATTGTGATGGTGGAGAGAAGACTCAGGACCAGGGGACTCTTGTCAATGCCCCATCCCAATTAGTGTTTCAGTTCATGGGAGAAACCTAAGCACCCCAACCTTTGATGTCAGCCTTGTGAAGGACCAAACACATCATCCCACTTGCATTCTGAAGTGGTACAGTCCTGGAAGGTCTTCATCACAGTTGTTAGCCCCACCCCCATGTGTTATCAGCACTTAGTTGGAACTGAATTTTCACTCCAGGCCTCTACTAAATATTACTGTGATGCTGAAATTGCTTTCTTTTGGATGAGCTATCACACCAAGGTCCTGATCATTTTCTAATTAATGATCTCTTGTCACTTTTTCTATTAAAGATCTCCTGGCACTTTTCAAAAGAGATAGCGCTAGCCTCAGTGCATTGGCCCAATTCCAGCTCGGGTAATTACATCCTGTGTCCCTAAGTACTTTTGGCAATTTAAAGGAGATGGACTTCTTCTTTACCCTTGCACTGACCCTGTCACATCTCTTTTGGTTCTCTTTTGACTCAAACTCTTCTGGATTTTATTTTTAAAGGTGATATGCTGCTTGAATTTTTGGATGTGGAGTAATGACTTTGCAGAGGTAGACAGAGAACACTGTGATTGATTGTATTTCTGAGAATGTAAAGATGAAGGGCTGGGCATGAACTTGCCCTCCAAAGAAAGGGCTGACAGAAGAGGTCAAAAACTTCTTCCCTACAAGTCTAGAAGGTAGAACTAGATTGAATGAGCTTAAGCTCCAAAGGGGCAGATTTTGGTTGAACATCAGGAGAAGCCCAGCAACTGCAGCTTGAACCACCAGTAAAAGTATGAAGTCTCTATATTTCTGAAGTATCTATTCACAGTAGACCATGGGAAGGATCATGTTTGTGTTGCAATATCTCTGCAAGGTCTGCTGTTGTATCATTTCTATCACCTTACTTTGACTGTTTCCAGCTGGCCTGATCATCAGAGCAGGGTTTTTCTTATGTTCCTATGTTCCATCTTTAGGTACAAGAATGGAACTTTGAATATAAAATCCAGCAATTTGTCATCTCCGTCGTTTAATAGTGATGAGAATTTGACAGATTCCTTGTGAAGAAGCAAATGAAAAAAATCAACAATACAGTACAGTGGTACCTCGGGTTAAGAACTTAATTTGCTCTGGAGGTCCATTCTTAACCTGAAACTCTTCTTAACCTGAGCTACCACTTTAGCTAATGGGGCCTCCCTCCACCGCCGTGTGATTTCTGTTCTCATCCTGAAGCAAAGTTCTTAACCCAAGGTACTATTTCTGGGTTAGCGGAGTCTGTAAACTGAAGAGTCTGTAACCTGAAATGTCTGTAACCCGAGGTACCACTGTAGTCCTTTAAAATAAAAACCAAAGCATCACTTTGACAAGCGTTTGTTCTTGCCTGTAATTTTGGAGTTGCTGTCCAATGTTTTTATTTACTTATCAACGTGCCATTCACTCACTATTCATTTCACTGATCTTTCATTTGCATAGTTCCAGAGCATATTATTTCCATTGTATTTTTTTAAAAGTACCCCAAGCTGTTGCTATACAGAAAAATAATAAAAATTGCAGAGAAGTCTGTCATTACAACATTAGCCTGCAATCACGACAAACAAAATAAAATGCTACATGGAGGAACCAAATAGCAACAGGATTATTATTTAAGCAGATACAGGAATCTGACTACCAGAAAAGAGTGGGTTTGGGGTGGAGAAGAGAAAGAGGGAAAGAGAAAATCTAAGCCAAGACTTACTGGCATCCCTGTTTTGAATAATAATCATGTCAAATGAAATCACAGAATCCCATTGAGATCCTCAGAATCTTATACAGGGATGCGGAACCTTTTTTCCTGTCTGAGGGCCACAATACCATCTGGGCAACCTGAAGAGACTTGAAGAGGCCTGTGGGACTGCATTCACCCCCTACCCCGATGTAGTTCCTTCCATTTATCTTCTTGAGAGTCTGGTGCTCTCACGGGTCGTGACCACACAATGTACAGTGGTACCTCTGGTTACATACTTAATTCATTCTGGAAGTCTTTTCTTAACCTGAAACCGTTCTTAACCTGAGGTACCACTTTAGTTAATGGGGCCTCCTGCTGCCGCCATGCCACCAGAGTGTGATTTCTGTTCTCATCCTGAGGTAAAGTTCTTAATCCGAAGTACTACTTCCAGGTTAGCGGAGTCTGTAACCCAAAGTGTTTGTAACCTGAGGTGTTTGTAACCCGAGGTACCACTGTACTGGCAGTATGTTTGCTTCTGCTGTGGCTGCAACATGGAGACGGGAGACAAGTCTGTGAGGGAGCAGAGTTTTGGCAACTAACCACACCAAGAGTGACAGACCCTCCAAGTGTCTCTATTTTCCAGAGACAGTCCTGGATTTACAGAAGGCGTACCGGTTTCTGATTTAATCCCAGAATGCCTCGCTCTCCCTTAGGACGTCCCTATTTCCACCGGAGAAATGTTGAAGGGTATGGAGTTATGCGACCCCTGAGCCAAGGAAATAAATAACTACAGTCGTACCTTGGAAGTCGAACAGAATCTGTACCGGAAGTCTGCCCGACTTCCAAAACATTCAAAAACCAAATCACAGCTTCTGATTGGCTGCAGAAAGCTCCTGAAGCCAATCAGAAACCTTGGAAGCCCTGTTGGATGTTCGGGTTCCAAAAAATCCCCCCAAAAATACATATTCACAAACCAGTTTGCGGCATTTGGGAGACAAAACGTCCAAGTTCCAGGGCATTCAACAACCAAGGTACGACTGTATACACCCTTTAGGAGACATCTGAAGGCAGCCTTGCATGGGGAAGTTTTCTGATGTTTGATGTTTAATTATGTTTTTATATATGCTGGAAGCCTCCCAGAGTGTCTGGGGCAACCCAGTCAAATGGGAGGGGTATAATTACAACAATTATTAATGTTGTTATGGAATACGACGTCCCTATTTTCATCGGAGAAATATTGAAAGGTATGAAGTAACATAGAATCATAGCATTGTAGAATTAAAAGGCACTGTGAGGGTCATCTCGTCCAACTCTCTGCAATGCAAGACTCTTCAGCCCAAGGTGGGACCCAAACCCTCAACCCTGAGATTAAGCATCTCATGCTCTACCAACTGAGCTACCTCATGGTGGTTTGTTGTTTTTGTTTTAACTGCTTATTTGCATTATTGTCTTGTATTTTTATCTTGTGAACCGCCATGAATTCTGTTGATGAAGGACTGTATATAAATCTAAATAACAAGAACAGCAACAGCAACAACATGATGTGAAGTATCTGTTGACTGAGTGACTTCTTGTGACTAAAACATTTGTGGATCAAGTGAATAGGGAGATAATGCAGACTGGCCTTGGACCAGTCCTCTCAGTTAAGCACTGGGAGTATCTGTTCAGGCAATCTGGTTCAGAGTTTAGCAGTCCTTTGAAATGACTGGAAAACGGACAAAATTTCCTTCATTTTCAGTTCATAGCCAGTGCACACATCCAGCCAGGACTTATTAAATCATTAATATACCAAAGAAATAATAAAACTTTGCAGAACACAATGCAAATGCATTCCTCAATATATTAAAGGGATTTTAATCTCTCATGGAATGAGAGAAAGTAATTTAAAAGTCACTCTTTATAAAATAGTGCTACAGCCTTATTAAACCAATTACATTTCTGTGTTTTAAAGATAGAATTACACTTATATTAATGCCTGAAGCACATTATATCTTTGTTCTTAACCAGGAGATTGCTTTAAATCAATTATATCCTATGACAATGGTCTTTTTGTGTGTGTGTTACTATAATACGAATAGATCTGCAGCAATGTTGCCCCACCAACCCAGTATTTGCTTGTTCCAGAGCAAGGCCAAATTAAACTGTTTGGGGGCACTGGTGCAGTTCTCAGAATAGCCCCCCTTCACTTCCCAATAGAGGGCTGCCTTCAGATGTCTTCTAAAAATTGTGTAGTTCTGTTTGTTTTGCACTGATACTTACCCCCTTTTTGGTCCTTCCTCAGAAGAAAGCCAAGACTGCAATTCTGTACCCACTTATCTGGGAGTAAACCCCATTAAACACAAAGAGACTTACTTCTGAGTAGACATGTAGAGCACTATTTTGTAAGTTAATGCCTGCCTTGACTTCAGCTACTTACTGTGTAATAGCATCTGCAGAAACTTAACTTGCAGAGAGTACCTACCTGATCTCAGATGAAACCACCATATTTTAGTTCAGTTTGATAAGTGGAATATGGCCATTGAATGTACATTGAGTGTGTGTGTGTGTGTGTGTGTGTGTGTGTGTGTACCCTGCCTCTCTCCACCCAGCAGCAAAGTTGTTGCTGTTTACCAGGCGGGTGCGAGGCAAGGAGGTAAGGAGTTTGGCACTGTGCAGGTGCGTCAGCAGGAGTAACAGTAACAATAATTCAAGAAATTATTGGTGAGTGTGCCAATACTCTGAACCTGAAAGAAGACTATGCAATTGAGACTAATTAATGTACTTGCTGTCTGAGAAGCAGGCAATCGCTGTCAGCCGGTTTTGCATTCAGTCAAGCTGTCAAGTCATTCATTCAGGCTGCGTGATCCTAGAAGCAATTGTACTTGCATTTCAGAAGGAACGAGGCCAGGAGAATATCCCCAAAGCCTTGGGGCTCAGGGGAATTTCTTTCTGCCAAATTCAATGGGAAATTTTCTATTAAGTTTTTCATTTTTTTACCTCGCTCTTCAGCTGGGAAAAAAAGGCTCCCAGTGAAGCTTACAAATAACAATAATAAAAAAGCCCTCGCCTTCAGGTTTGCAATCTATTCTCAAGACTGAAGTCATAGACCCAGCTAGCTGAATACTTCTCAATACATTTCCCTATAGGAGAAGTAGGGAATCTTTTTCACTCCATGTTAGGCAGCCTTGCAGGGGCTTAATGACAGTGGTAGGTAGGAGCAGAGGCCAAAAGTGGGTGTGGCCAGAGGAAAAAAGTGAGTGAAGCAATGGTTTAACTCTACCATCTCCAGGAGCAATATCACCCCATCCTGCTACAACCTGCAGGCATTTCGGGTGGTTGAGCAAAGGGGCATTTTCACCCATAAGACTTTTCCATCTTGTTTCCACTTTTGTATTTAGAACAAAGAAATCCTGATAAAAATTCAAAGTTAAAAGTTTTATTTTAAACAGTAGTACATCTTTTAAAACTTTCGTTCCTTTCAGAATATGCCTTTTTAAATGTACCAAATTTTTCACTCTATAAGACGCACCCGACCATAAGATGCACCTAGTTTTAGAGGAGGAGAACAAGAAAAAGAATATTCTCTCCCTCTCTGTGCAGCGCCTCTCCAGCAAAGCGGGAGGAGAAATGGAAGGGGCTCCGTTTCTTCTCCTGCTTCGCTGAAGGGGTGCTGCGCAGTTCTCCCTCTCTGCGCAGTGCCTCTGAAGAGGTGCTGCGTAGAGAGGGAAAGCTGCGTAGCGCCTCTCCAGCGAAGCAAAGTCAGAACAGCAAGAGGGATCACTGCAGCGAAAGCAGCAATCCCCCTTGCTGTTCTGGCTTCTGGGATAGCCGTGCCAAGCCTCTTCAGGGCAGGGGGAGCGTTCCTCCCATTGCCCTGAAGAGGCTTCGCGCGGCTATCCCTGAAGCTTAAGAGGCTTTGCATGGCTATCCCTGAAGCCAGGAGAGCAAGAGGGATCGGTGCACACTGATCCCTCTTGCTCTCCTGGCTTCAGGGATAGCTGCGCAGGCTGCATTTGCTCCATAAGCTGCACACACATTTCCCCTTACTTTTTACGAGGGGAAAAGTGTGTCTTATATAGCGAAAAATACGGTAATTATTCTCGAAATTCACGTTAAATGAGCTTTTCCACCTTCAAAATAAGATTTTCGAAACATTATACATTTTAAAGAGCTGAAAACTATATAAGAAAATTCAGTAAATGATAAGGCTGGTGGATAACTAAAACTGTGATTCCTACAATCAGATCAGATTTCACAAAGAACGAATTCCTCAAACATTTTAGCTGAACGATCCTTTTGTCATTTCCATCCATTAAAAAAAAACCACTGCCAATTTAAATCCCTCCTGTACATATATTTCAATATAGATATCCAGAATTTTAGAAAAACAATAAAGCACTTTGATGAAGTTATTTTCCATCAAGAGCTCATGTTTTATATACCAAAATATAATCCTCACAAAATTCCAGAACAGTTTTACAGTGAGAGAGAAGTTAAGAGAATAAAAATGTCTTGGGCAAGAGGAAGCAATTTATTGAATATGATCCAAGTGTTTGCCTAAATTATGGGGGGAAAGATTACATCCAGGTCAAGATTGTGTCAGATAAGTGCTGAATTCTCTGTGTTGACTCTTATTTTCTTGAGATTTGGTTTCTTTTTTAACCTAGTTGCACACAACTCAGAACAGTTCGCACAAGAAATGGTATCTGCAATCCAGATGTTCTGAAAATTTTATCACAATGAATACAGTGCCTGAGTTTCATAAATGACATTATGATAACAGAATGACAATATGTAAATGCTTCAGATTTTGTAACACACATAAAGCTCTTCTTCTCTTGAGGGAATAAAACATTGCTTCCCTCTCATTCTTGCACCACAATGCATTGGTCTGAACTCACTTTTTCTCAGCAAGATTGCCAGGTAGTATGAAAAGTAGCAGTGCTTTTTGATGGGGGAAAAAGGTGGCAGAATTATCATGAAGTTTGTTTGTTTGTTTGTTTGTTTGTTTGTTGCAGGCCCAGTCGCAGCGCCCCCTCCCCCCGGCTGGGCAGTGGCTAAACGTAAGATGTGAGTAATAAACTCAAGCAGACAATGATCTTTATTGATTACAGATTCGTTATTGAATTATTCAATTTTAAAAAGGTAATGGAACCCAGTTTCCCCAAGTTCCTGCTCAAAAACCAATAACACCCTGTGTGGTAGTCAGTAGACCTGTTGAAATTAATGAACATGTAAGTGAGGTCCATTAATTTCAACAGGTCTATTCTGAGTAAACTTAGTTGAAGGCCACCCTGCTGAAGGGGAATACCCAGGTACGCCAGCCTTCCAATTTTTCACTCATATATGCTTATGAAACCTCAGGCTCAAGGGCTGAATCTGGACCTCTGGGCATCTCTACCCAGCCCTCAAGACTCTGTCCAGATCACTGTCCTTGTCCCCAGGCTGCGTCTTTCCCTGGTCTAGATTGAGTTATTGAGATCTTGTGTTTGGATGGGATGTGTTCCTGAACTGTGATGCTATTGCTTACTGGTGTGGCTGGAGAGATATCAGACGCTGGTTTAGAAACCTCTGGCTTTTGCATGGTTGGAACACAGCCTATTGTACAAAGGTGAGAGTCGCCTCAGGGACCTTCTGTCTTCAAAGCCTCCCTCCATATGTACCTACCCAGACCCTAAGATCATCTCCTGATGCCCTTCTTTGTGTGCCTCCTCCATGGGAGGTCCTGAGGGTGGCAACACGAGAATGGGCCTTTTCTGCAGTGGCTTCCTCTTTGTGGAATGCTCTCCCCAGGGAGGTTCGGTTGCCGCCTTCATTATACACCTTTAGGCGCAAGGCAAAAAGTTTCCTCTTTAACCAGGTCTTTGGCTGATTGACATGGAATGCCCTTTTAAAATATGCTGGGAAAAGGGGGTGGGGATATTGGGTTGTTTTTGTTTCTGTTATGTATTTTATGTTTCTTTATTGTGGTCTTATCTTCTGAACCACCCTGAGACCTGTGGGTATAGGGCGGTATATAAATTTAATAATAATAATAATAATAATAATAATAATAACAACAGCTGATGTTATACCACTGAGCTACAGCTCCTTCCTTTCTGTTTTACATTGTTATGCTGAGGGTGGGCTCGATTTACATGACAAAGATTACAGCAGCCCCCTTACTCTGAGAACGTTATTCAGGTTCCTATGATACCAACATAATCCGACCACTGTTATCTGGAAGCAAGTCCCGTTAGCTTTTATGGAAATAAGTTCCACAAGAAAGTGAGTGTTCATAAAACGGCAGTTTTAAAAGCTAAATTTCTGGGACAGTTCACAGGGACTCTTCTTGATATCAACAGAACGATCAGAGATTAATAAAAAAGACAATGCCCCCCAAATAGCATTTCTTTGGTTTTCTTTGCCATTCATGTACAGAGAGATGTA